CAGTACTCTTCTTCCCTGAATGTATAGGGCGCTAGTGATCTCACTACACTAAGTAAATAAGCGCATGCTAATATTTTTAAAAGTCGATCGAAGGACGTGACACTGTAGCCTTCTACGCAGACATTCTGCGTAGGACACTAGTGATACTGTTGTTTCCGTAACCACTAAGGGAAGTGTAACTTGATTGAATGGAGCTGCATCAAAATATTCTTATTCAAAAGCCGAGCAGACAAGAGACAGTCTAGGTCATGTCTTCTGTAAAGCGTAATTGGAATGATAAGACATTACGTCACCTGATCTATAAAACGCTTTTATATCGGTCTTAACTGGGCTGTGAGCAGANCGGACGTATAGGGCGCTAGTGATTTCACTACACTAAGTAAATAAGCGCATGCTAATATTTTTAAAAGTCGATCGAAGGACGTGACACTGTAGCCTTCTACGCAGACATTCTGCGTAGGACGCTAGTGATACTGTTGTTTCCGTAACCACTAAGGGAAGTTTAACTTGATTGGATGGAGCCGCATCAAAATATTTTTATTCAAAAGCCGAGCAGACAAGAGACAGTCTAGGTCATGTCTTCTGTAAAACGTGATTGGGCCTCTTTACTTTACCTTGAAACGGGATTTAAGCTTTTATATGTTCGTGATTCGTTATTCCCAATTTTAAGTTATTTATAGCTGCACGTGAACTCGGGTACGTGAAAATAAATATTTACATCACATGTGGTCCGTGAATGAAGAGTTGAATAAAACGGAACTCGTGAATCATTTTATGTTGCGTAAATAAATCTTTGGTTGTGTCAGTGTTCCGGTAATTCTACATCTTTGTTTTCAACACTGTTGACCTGTGGTTGGGTTTTGAAATGATAAGACATTACGTCACCTGATCTATAAAACGCTTTTATATCGGTCTTAACTGGGCTGTGAGCAGACAAGCGTTACATCACCTTTTGCTACATGAACGAGGCATGTCAACGCGCGTTAGGATCAAATTATATGATTTTATACCACTTGACC